AGATGAGGGCAAATTAGTCATTTTACTTTTGGACTTAACATCTGTCTTTTAACACCGTAAATGCCAGGGACCAAATATGCAAGTAAAACTACATTTTAGGGACCATTCATGCAACAAATCAAACATTTTGTGTTTTGCTTAAATTTGGTCTGATTACAGGGTTTAAAAAGAAAGAGATGAAGAACAATTTTAGGATTTGCATTAAGGTAGATGAAGATAGGGGCAAAATAGTCATTTTGCTAGAATCAATCTGACTGACCTTTCTTCTTTGTGGGGTTGTAGAGACATGAAAGCCATCCAAATATAAACAGGAGACACAACAATCACCATATCAGGAGCATATTTCTTCTTTGTAAATGGCAGAAGAACCACAAACATCATTGCAAAAACAAGAGCAAAATTGAAGTTATTAAATCCATTCTTCAAGTAAAATAAAGCCCCTTCAGTTCCATATAAATGACTCTCTCCACCTCCTAAAACATTATACACCAACAGATTCACAACAGAAGATGTCCATTTCCCATAGTAATGATAATCCACAACTACTGAAATTATCTGAAACAAAAACAAAACAAGTGATTAGAAAACAGAAAGTTAGACACAACTTTTTTTTTTTTATAAAAGATTACGTACCAAAAGTGTAATTGACATAAACGCCCCTGATATAAACACCCTTTTGAATTTTCGAAGTAGAGAGTAGACTGTTACTGGAAGAAAAGCAAGGACTGAAAATGGCCAACCAAGAATAACTCCAGTTGCTGCAACAGCAACAGCCATGGCATTCATCCCAAAGAGAAACAATGCTGAAGAGAGAGAAATTGCATACATAGAAAAAGAACTTGGCAAAAAACCTGTAAAAGTTATGAAAAAGAGTTGATATGAAAAGGGAATTATTAGATTTTGTTAATTCTTGCATTTGGGAACGTACTTGTGCTAGCAAAAAAGCAACCACTTGTTAAGCATAAAAGGGCGAGTGTGTAACAAGCAAGGCGTTTTCCATACTTTCTGGAAAGTGCTACTACTAAAGCAGCTTCAGATATGACAGAAAGAAGGCCAAGAAAGATTCTCACAGCATAGAATACTCTTACCTGAAATATGATGAAGAAATCATTAGATTGATTATGTTAATGGAAGTAGAAATCAACAAGATTATAAATGGAATGGTTATAGAAAGTGTTGAATTGTATTACTTTTTCCTCATCGAGCCAATTATACATCTGTGAAGCTGGCCAACCCACCATATAATGGAACAGAATGTAGAGGTAGGAACGCAATGCAAATTGAGAACTGCAATTAACAGATAATTTCTCTCAGAGTTAAGAAATCATGGCTGAATTTGGGGAATGGGGATAGAACTTCCATGGAAGAGCTTGTGAAACAGAAAATAATTGAAGAACTAAGGCAAACAATTAGCACAGACACATTCCGAATTGCTTATTTCAGTGGTGATTTTTTGTTGTATTGTGAAGGGATATACATATACTATAGTCTATATAGCCTCGTATTTGAAAGAGCTTATTCTGAAGTTGCTATGTAAGACAGAAACAAAATCAGGCTCTTTGATTCATATTAAGATGTAGTTATTAAGTTATCTGCGCTTATTAGATCTTAGTTGGAATTCTCAGAGTGTGTAAATTTGGTATAATCCTTAGTTCGTACTTCTAACATGTCCAACAAAGAAAAATTCAGGGATTATGATGATCATATGACTCAAACAGGTAACGAATAATGAGAAATGAATGGAGAATACCTGTACTCCCAAGTCTGAAAACCTGATTTGTAAAGGAGGAAATGAAGAGGCTCCCAATAATTGAACACTTCATCACAGTCATGAACGATATTCGTAGTTGCACTCAAATACCTTAATATCCCTAGGGCAAATATAGGAAATGTCCATGACAGACCTTTATCCACCTCAACCCCTGGTTTCTCCGCTGGTTTGTCTACCTTCGTATAACCATCCGCATCGGCCGATGTTGAAGGCAACAAACGATCGTATTCCGACGGACGTCTTCTCCTTGTTGGAAGTGCTGCCATTGCTTTACTCTGTAGCTATTGCCTCGATCCTTCTGCAAAGACAGCTTGGTGGATTTGCTTTATGTTTGCTTCTTTTCCGCTTTCGGCTTTGAAAATCGTGAAAGAATGAACGAAACCGGTCGGATAGTCATCGGAAAAGCTATTCCGTGAAACGGGAAAGCCCAAATGATTGGGTAGTTGGACTACCGGCTAAAGCCCAGATCATTGGGCCCGAATCTCATCATTGGGCCCGAATCTCCATGAGAGTGGGCAAGGGCCTATATCTCCAAGTTGGATGTGATATGTATGCTATGTGGTAGCTTGACGGAGTTCATTAAGTTACGCGCTTACAATTTCAGTTTTGATTTCAGATATTTCTGCTACCAAAGAGAAGGACTCAGGATGATCACATGACACACACTACAGTTTTCTAGTGTGAGATATTTCACTCTCATATTTGATATGATATTTTGATAATTTGAGAGTTATGATGATGTTTTTAAGATGCATAGTTTACGATGTTTACATGATACTTTTGTGGTTTTAATAATGAATTAAAAATGAAATTTTTGGATCGTATTTTTGGGATGTTTCCACGTCGTCTATGTTATAGATACCTGGGATAAAGGTAAGGCGACAATGGATGATGTACCGATCGTGCGAGAGTACCTGGATGTATTCTCAGAGGATTTTCCTAGGATACCTCCGGAGAGACAGGTTGAGTTCAGGATTGACCTATTCCCTGGTGCAGCTCCGATAGCCAAGACACCATATCGGTTGGCTCCTCCCGAGATGCAGGAGTTGTCTACACAACTGCAAGAGCTACTAAACAAGGGATTTATCAGATCGAGCAGTTTACCATGGGGAGCCCCGATCTTGTTTGTAAAGAATAAGGATATGTCTCATCGGATATGCATAGACTACTGGGAGCTAAATAAGGTAATGGTGAAGAACCATTATACTCTCCCGAGGATCGATGATTTGTTTGACCAGCTACACGTTGCATCTTGGTTCTCCAAGATTGACATGCGATCGGGATATCACTAGGTGCGAGTCAGGGACGACGACGTGTCGAAGACAACCTTTCAGACTCGCTATGGTCACTATGAGTTCATGGTGATGCCGTTTGGGCTCACCAATGCTCATGTCGTGTTTATGGACCTCAAGAACCGCGTGTGCAGACCGATGCTGGATCGGTCTGTGATGGTCTTCATTGATGACATGTTGGTTTATTCCAAGACTCAGGAGCAGCATGAGGAGCACCTAAAGGAGGTGTTGGAGACACTGAGGAAAGAGAGACTTTTCGCAAAGTTCTCCAAGTATGAGTTCTAGTTGCACGAGGTGCGGTTTCTGGGGCACCTTGTCAACCAGAAGGGTATTCTGATCGATCCAGCCAAGATAGAGGCTGTGATGCAATGGGAGGTTCAAAGGTCTCTATTTGAGATTCAAAGTTTTCTTGGTTTAGCGTGTTACTATCGGAGATTCATACAGGATTTCTTCATAACCGCTGCTCCTCTGACCCGACATGTCCACTACATAAGCATTTCACTCACATTTAATCTTCATACCGAAAGGCCTTAGTGGGATGAAAATCAACATAGGAAAAAACAATATATTTCGTGAAAAATGTTTTATTTCATTATTCTGTGACAACCAAACATATCTTTTTTTTTTTATTTATTCCAATGTAATGTTTTGTTCCATCATTCTTCGATTAATTTATGTCAAACGCTATCTAAATTTTTTTATTGAAAGAGATATACACGAGCGGAATGTTATCGACAGTAAGTAAGTGTGACATGGAGTGAAGACTTTCACGATTGTTCACGGACAGATAGAAAACTCTCTATCTCTCCTCATATTTTATCTATTTTTCTCTTTTTTTTCTTCTTCGTCACTTGTTTATTAATGAATTCCATTTCCACAACCTAATAAAATAGTTTAAATAATAACATGATCTTATCTTCATTACCTTTTCCCAGGTGAGAATACCCCTCAACCTAAGGGAGTGTTTATAAACTATCTTTAATCATATAATCTTCAAGAAATATTATAAATATATACAAAATGTAACTTTCCTTTTATGTGTAAAATACTGTAGCTAATAGTATAACTTATGATGCACATTACACAAGTTGTGGAATTGGGTTTCATTATTGTGCTCCACTATCGTGGGCTGCGACCGGAGATCTTTCAATTGCTTTAAGTTTAACTTATAGAAATAACCCTTATAATTTTACTTCTATTCATTCGTCATCCAATTATATTCAATTTGTTTCACAGTTAATATAAATTTATAGAAATTGCCCCTTCATTTTATTTTCTTTTTATTCACAATCCATACAAATTATAAAAATAGTCTATTGACTCTTTTCTTCGGTAAAATCACCTACTTCATGCATTTTTATTGTTTCTGTAGCCCATTATCATACAACAAATAAATTTTAAAGCTTGAATTTTCAAAAAAAAAAAAAAATACTACTTATTGTTTTACCGAATGATTTTGTCACATATCAAAATCCAATCAAATATTTTGGTTTTTTTTACAATTTTTAACAATGTGATTTTCTTCTTCGCTTTTTTCATGCATTCATCTTTTTTCCTAATTTTATTTTTTTTACTGTTTTATTCCAAGATTTAATCAAAAAAAATTTGAACTTAGTATTTTAATAATTTATACGTTTTCTATATGATATGCTACGTTGTTTAATCAATTCTCTACGTAAAAACCTGCAGAAAAGCACGAACTAAAATACTAGTTTCTAACACTTTCAAAACCTCAAATTACACATATAATCTTCAATATTCTCTTTAACACCTTCAAAACTTCAAATTAATAGTTTATATAACATCATCCACATTATAAAATTGCCCAAAAAACAAGTAGCTAAGTACCATTTTAGTTGAACGTTTTATTTCAAAAGTACAATAAATCATTATAAATGCCCAAAAAACAAGTAGCAAAATACCATTTTAGTTGCACGTTTTATTTCAAAAGTACAATGTCGTCAGACAAGGTACACAATCAACAATACACGCATCACACACCCTTCATAAATATTTCACTTTAACACTTTCAAAACTTCAAATTAATAGTTTACATAACATCATCCACTATCTAGAAATGCCCAAAAAACAAGTAGCGAAATACCATTTGATTTTAGTTGAACGTTTTATTTCAAAAGTACAATAAGTCATCTGATTGTCAGACAAGGTACAATCAACAATGCACGCAGCACACACACACTTACTTCACCACTACATACATTACCAACTCACCATCCTCAAGTCAACAACCAGGGTGTTCAACCCAAATTTCCCTTCACAAAACATCACGATAACTCGATAATCCACAAGAAAAAAAAAACACATAACATTATTATAATATTATAATATTAACCGGTATTTTGCATTCCAGCTGCAATTCCCTTCATGGTCAAAATAAGCGTATCCTCCAAACCGGGCGCATACTCACTCTTCGGGTTCAGCTTTATATACTCATCAGCCGGTTTAGTTGGCTCGGCATACTCTTTTGAAATATGTGGCCTCAATTTCACGTGGTAGTTAGGGTCACGAATTCTTTTTAATGTATACGCTTGACACACATTTAATGTCGTGATATATGAATCACGTAAACGGAGCCTTTGTCTCAAATACGGATCCCCCTCAAGTAAATCCTTATGCCCCGCAATCTACAAAAACAAAAAACAAATCAAATCATGTCAGCAACAAAGCAACAACCTCTGAGCTATCCCACACTGTATTGTATTATACTGACTACACACCCGAAGAAGGAGATTTTTGGTTTCCTCGTAATTTGCTCTTAGTGATTCACCAAACGACCATAAGTCTTCGGACACGAGGAGCTTGTCATTCAAAGCTGCAATTCCGGGGTCACCTTTTGCAAACACCATTTCGACTAAATCGATTGTGACTCTAAAAAAAGGCCATGTTTTATACATTTCTTGTAGCATGTGAAGATTCTTGATGTCTTTTTCAATTGCGTATTTAAACGCGGCTCCAAATCCCAGCCAGACCGGGAGATGGAACCGCGTTTGAGTCCACGCGAAGATCCACGGAATCGCTCTGAGCGATTCTATTCCGCCGCTCGGCTTTCGCTTCGACGGACGGCTCCCGATGTTCATCCGCCCGTATTCCAATTCCGGTGTCGCCTGTAATCGGAATCATAATACATAATTATTTATTTATTTATATTTTTTTTTGAAAATATAAAATGAAATATAAACGAGACTTACGAGTCGGAAATACTCGACGAAACGCGGTTCCTGAAATACAATCGAGCGATACTGCTCGGTTGCGTGAACCGCGATCTCGTCCATCAGTGCGCGCCACTCGGGCCGGGGTGAAACCGGGGGGTTCATCCCGTGCTCGAGTGTCGCCGCGCAGAATCTCTGAAGTGTTCGAAAACACAAATGTTCTTCACCAAACGACTGCTCGATAACCTCACCCTGAACCGTAACCCGGAGCGACCCGTGGATCGTTCCGGCCGGTTGCGAGAGTATAGCGAGATGGGTCGGGCCACCGCCCCGCCCGACCGTCCCGCCCCGCCCGTGAAACATTGTCAACTTGACACCATACTTTTTCGCAACATTTATAAGCTCCTCTTGGGCTTTGTAAAGTTGCCAGGCGGCTGAAAGCCGCCCGGCATCTTTACCAGAGTCGGAATATCCGATCATGACTTCTTGTTTCCCGTCAATCCGATTCCGGTACCACTCGATTTCAAAAAGCCGGGCGACCGCCGCAGGGGCGGCGTCCAGGTCAGCGAGTTTTTCGAAAAGCGGGACCACACGTAACGGGTGTCTGACGTGGCATTCACGTTGGAGCAACTCGACGGCCAAAACATCTGAAGGTGACGTGGCCATGGAGATGATGTAAGCACCGAAGCAATCAGATGGGAGTTCTGCGATGACGTGGAATGTATCCAAAACGTCTGAAATTTCTTCGGTTTTTGGGAGGTCTTTACCGAATAAGGGGCGTTTGCCACTAAGTTCAGAAAGAAGCCAGTCTTGTCGCTTTGCTTCGGACCAATCACGATAAGACCCGATTCCCAAATGTTGTGTGATTGCTTCTAGAACGTCGGTATGTCTGTCGGATTCTTGTCGGATATCCAGTCGTACAAGTGAAAGTCCGAAAGTGGAAACTTGACGTAAGAAATCAAGAAGGCTGCCGTCAGCAATTACACGATCACCACATGCACATAGTGATCTGTAGCATAACTCAAGCGGTTCCAAAAACTGCCACGTTGCAACAAAAAAAATTAGTATTCAGAAAAAGAAAAAAAAAACTGACACGTGGCTAATAATTAATTAAGATTGAATCTTTATATTACTTGTTCGACATTAGTGTAAACCAATTCTTCTGGAATGTCTGAGACGTCATGAGCTAACAAATGACGGGATCTTTCTCTTGTGTTGTATAACTTGTCTCTCACGTCACCGAGAATCACACGATATGGTTCAGTGGGAGGAACTTGTTTCCAGAATTCTGTAGGAAAAAAAAAATTATGAAATACCGAAAATGCCCTCGAAAGCTTAAAGGAAGAATATTTTTCGCGGGAATTACCGATATAGTGTTTGACGTCTCTTTTAGACGATGATCTATGGAGTTGTTCAGCTCGAACACGGAGTTCATCGCTACAACGCCACATTGACATCTGGAAAGTGGAAACATCAATTCCAATGTAATTAAGAGGAGAAAAAAAAGGGAAATACCGAAAATGCCCTTACCTCAAACATTAGATCCTCTATCTGGGAAAAGTACATGTTTGCAGCCATCATTCTTGCAAGTAAGCAAACATCTCTTGTAACTTCAGGAGTTACCCTTGGATTACCTGATTTTTTTTTTTTTTTTTTTTACAAAAAGATATAAGATTTAACTTTTATGAGCATTAAATAAGATAATTAGGAGAAGTATAATTTAGAAAATATATATATACCATCACGATCGCCACCCATCCAGGAAGAAAACTGTATGAGAGGGGCATTATAGGGAACACGTTCGTTAATTCCAATGTTTTTAAGAGCAGTGTCGACACGTCGTAAAAATTTAGGAACACCTTTCCAGATTGTTTCATGGAAGTAACTCATTCCAGCTCTCATTTCATCTTGTGGAGTTGGTGGAGTTCGTTTAATCTCATCAGTGCGAAAAGCCGCTTGAATCTTGAAAAGATACATAAAAAAAATTATAATTTATAAATCAATGATTTTTTTTTTCAACCAAAGATTAATTTATACAAATTTACTTACTTCTCTATGCAAAGCCTCGTCCAATTCAAGCTTATCATCAGGAGTTATGTCCTTCGCGTATAACTGAGCAAGACAATCACGAATCCTGTAAAAAAGTACAGATATTAAAAAAAAAAAAAAATCGACTTTTTTGCTTCAAGATTCATGGAGATGAAGGGTGTTTAACTATTTATACCTTCCATGTTTTTGAAGTAAAGATCTGCGGACAGATTGAGTAGGGTGAGCAGTGAAGACTAGGTCAACGGTTTGGTTCTTGAGGGCATCAAAGACTTCTTGAGGGGATTTTTTGAGTTTGTGTACAAGTTTTTTGAAAGTTTCTTCAATATCGGATTCAGTTGTTGCAATGGCTTCATCACCAAAATCACCCTTTTTCAGCTTGATTCTCCTACGATAAGCGATTTGAACCTCTTCAGCTAGATTGGCTAAGTTAAGCATGTGAGAGAAAGCTTTAGCAATGACAATGGAGTCCCCTGGATCTAAACTTGTTAATACACTTCCAAGCTCTTCTAGCTTCTTAGGGTCATGCTTTCCTTCATACTCAGCGGAAAGCTCATAACATTCTTGCACCTATAAAAAGCAATAGGTTTCATTGGAAACAACGTTTGATAGTTCAGTGGCACATTTAGTCGAACAGTTGGTGATCAATGAACATGGGATGCATTCCCCTGTTCCTCGGAGAAATTGGATGTTTAATTGTTCATCATATCACTTCACAACCGGAGTTGCATGTCTTGATTAAATAAAAAGATAAAAGAACCTAATTTGAACTACAGGCTTATGTAATATCGAATCGTTAATACCGAGAAAACAACTGAAAATTGTCGAAATAAAAGTTTGCAATAGAGAATTCGTTAAGCTTTAGTTTTTTGGGAATCGATTAACTAGAAAATAAGTTAGGTTATGAACTACTGAACCAAAAAAGCTTACCGTTTCTTTGAGACCCTCTCCATGCAAATCCTGAAGAATATCAAGAAACTTATCCAGAAGCAAAGCATCGTACTCGATAAGTTTATCATCCTCCGAGACTTTTCCGGGAACTAAAAGCCTCAATTGCGCATCGATGGACGCCAATTTCTCCAAATTCCGAGTCGCCATTAACCACACACACTCCAAATCAAAACTGATAACCTTTCAATTCCTGATTAATCAAATAAAACAAAAAAAAAAAAAAAAAAAAAATCAAAAATACTTTCTTTGAAGTCAGTGGTTCTATCAAATCGTACTGATCGCGACACAAAGTAGACATGAAAAAGCAACCCACGTGTGTATGGATAAACAATCAAAGGTGTATCGTATGGATTTGAGTACATGGAGAAGTGGAGTACCTGATGGTTTATGGGTGAGAGTGAAATCTTAAGACTCGATAGAATCGAAGAAGAAGGTGGAGATCTGAAGAACATGAATTTGGGGTTTGGCTATATATAGAGAAACATAGGCAAGGAAATCACATGACACATGCCACATGGTACGACTCATGACGGAAAGATCGGTATCAAAGGCAAAGCCCCTTGGAATTTTTTTTGCTAATTGCCGTTCAAAAACCACCCTTTCAATTTGGCTAAATTCACGCCTCAGATCATGAATAGAATACCATTATTTATCAAAAGAGTAAATTACAAAAATAATCCGGAATTTATATGTTTGGTTTTTAATAATTTTTAGTTCATCCCATGTTATTATTTCTATTTATTTTGAATATGGTCATAGATCCGGTTAAAATGATTATTTAACATTTAGTGATATTTTTAAAATTTTAATCTTATTTTACTTGTTATATAGAATAAATTATTAAATAAGCACACCCTACCTCTCCCTATGTACCTTCCCCACCCTCTATTTCCTTCCATGACTCGTAAAAATCATCACCACCTTACATCGCCCTTGAAACAACCTCTAATGACATCCACACCCCACCACATCACAAAGCTTTTCCTTTTTAACGTCTCGATTTTAAAAATAAAATTTTCATTTTAAAACCAAAATAAATACTCAAATTTATAAAGATATATTCAAAACAAAACCATTTGTTCATAAAACCATAAACCAAAATCATAGTCTTAAAGAAAGGTAATAGGGTATAGGGTTTGACGCCCTACATATATCCTCACTATCCGAACCAAATGTACACGTACCGAGCTAGAAACATATGTACCGAACAGGGGCACCTATATCGAACCATACAAATGTACCAATCCACGAAGATACCGAACCATACAAATGTATTACTATTGACAATTGACAGATTCTTTGACTACCAACAAACATCTGTTAAACGACTACAAGGTACACACTTACGTACCTTCGGGTATTAGACAATTAATGCAACATGACCTTAAACTTTCATGTCAAAAGAAGAGGTTATGTCGTTGAATATCGACTATAAACATATTCAAAAAAAAACACGAACAAGGTACACTATCATTTTGTGTCCCTTAAGAAAATACGATTTATTATACACTCCTCAGAATCATCACTGAATTTATCATCGGAACGTTGGCCTGGGATCCCCTCCCCGTAAATCAGCTTATAAATTGTTCGTGTCTCCAGGTTTACTAACTATAAAAGGGATCGTCCGTTATTGTAGTCAACGACAGATAGACACGGGGGCGCCATCCATGAGACTCCACGACAAATGGCCAATGAAGATATCCCAATTGTCGATGTGACTCCCATCCCAAGAATGCAAAACCTTGAGGGGCCTGAAGGAACCTACAAATTACGATGGTGCAAAAAACAAGAATGTGATTCCAGAAGATCCAAAAGGAGAATAAGGACGGATGAGCTAAAAGAATTTGGAAGCAAAAGAATTGGAGATGAATGAATTCAAAGCCTTCAAAAGCTTTAGACTTATGAGGAGACGGAAGATGGAAAGAAACAAACAAAAAACTTAAAAAAAAATAAAGAATCGGATTTAGTCTCCATTCATACAAGCCAAACGAAAGATTCAGACGAGACGGAAGTAAAAGCCAAGAAACATGAGAAAAAAATAAGTAGGAAGGAAGTAATCTCTAACCCTTCACACTCTAAGAAAATGAAAAAGAACTTCGGTAAAGGCTAAGAGACATCACCAGAAGCAGTGAAGGCGAAGTAGTACAATCAAGCCTTCAAAAACTTGAATTTTCGTTCACCCTTTACGGATGATATCGATGAGACACCCATACCAAAGGGACTCAAAAGTCCAAGGGTATCACCATATGATGGGACAGGAGATCCGGGCATCATATCACAAACTTTCAATAGGCCACCAAGATGATTCCAATGGATCCAAAGCTGTGGAGTTTATACGTTACAGGAACCCTGGACATATCCCCCTGATATTGGTTAGCAAGTCTACCTCCTCGAAGTATAGGGAGCTTTAAAGAGCTAAGTTAAAAAATTTGTAGCACTTTCATTCAATAGAGGAGGTTCCAACAGCAGGCACATGCAATATTTTCTTTTCGAGAACACGAAGGGGAGTCCATCAAGGGTTATTTCAAACGATTCAAAAAAATTAGCCGAAAGATGCTAACAAGAGATGACCCCATGATTATAGTGGCATTCACTTATGGACTCTTGGAAAGGGAATTATTCTGCAAGTTAGTGGTCAGAGAATGGTTTAATGCAGAAGATATGATACACAAAGTGTAACATCCCGTATAATTAAATAAATAAATGGAAAAGAGTTAATATGAATTAAAATCCTAAAATCATTAATAATTTAGCGGGGTGTTGGTGTTGGGGAGCCAATCGATATAATTTTGGATTTTGGGGGTTAAAAGAGTAATTTCTGGACTTGATTGGAAAGGGATTCCAGAAGGTAAGGTATAAATGGCCTAATGCTTAATCTTGGACTAGGCTGCTTTGTGATTGGGCTAGAAAGCCTAATTTAGGTTTAGAAAACCCTAATTTTGGGTTTGTCTGTTTGGATTTTTACCAGGACCCGCTGTTGGACTGTTAAATTTGTTGGGTTTTAGCCATAAGAACTTTCCTATGTGCGCATGCAAAACCCTATTGCTCGGATCTAGGCTTTCTAATAAACATGCTTTGAATCCAAGACTTCTAATAGCTAATTAGTTTAAATAACAATGATGAAACAGATCTAGAATCATACCTTTGAGTTCCTTGTTGATCTTGTTGTCTTGGAGCTTCTAGAGTCACAATTGTCACTCCTCTAATGGCTTACAAACACCAATAGCAAGCAAGATGATTTAGGAGAGTGGGGAGGGGAGGAATTCGGCCAGAGTATCCTTGCTTAAGGTTGTGTATCGAATTCCCTCACCCATAGGGTCTATTTATACTTGTAGACTCCTTAAGGGTTTCACCCTAAACCCTAATTGGATAATCCTCTCTTAAGGCTATCCAAATCCATTCCATAGATAACCCTATGGACGATTTGAGCTATCCTAAAGCTCTTAGAATCCGTCCATGGTCCATCTTAATGGATTTACAATCTAAAGTCTAACTATCAAACAATTGACAGTTTATACCCTCTTATTTAATTAATCTCTTTAAGTCACCAAATTAATACCAATTAATTTATGACTTATATTAATCAAATAGCTAAATATTATTCCTTATAATATTTACTCTCTCTTAACAAATCATCCTTCAAGTTGCTATGGTGAAGGCAACCCAAAAGGACCATGCACCACCGAATATAGTTATAGCCTTAGACACTATTCCAACAGTCTCCCACTTGGATAAGTCTAGTAACTATACAAGTACAATACGGTTTGCAATCGTAGCTCTCAAAGACGCTGTCAACTCTGATCTAATCAATCTTGTCCTTTAGATAAGGGATCGTACAGTCCTCTGTTAGATATCATGCTGACAATCCTATGGAATGGTTAGTCTAGCATTTAGATTTCTCGATCTCCGATTTATTTGACATAGAACTTAATCGAACACATCAATTCAGTTCTGACCGGGCCCGGCACATAAGTCAAATCAAATCATCGAGTGGCCAAGATATCTCTTCTATCCTCTTAGGATAAAATTTACAGATAAACTTCGACTTATATGCATTTACTTATTCATTAACCAACTATACACAACAATGCGTTTTATAACATCAAGTTACTGATGCGTTTTCGCATTATCAATGCACAATCAATTAACAAATAATAAACCATATATCTAGGTTTTAAGACCATATGATATTATCGTCTTGCGATCACCTTTTATATCGTATTCCATAAGTGATTCCAGCAAGCGCGGGTTTATTCCAATGCTCAAAACCAGTTCATAAGCACTCATGAACGTTGCAGCAACCCTTGCTATGTCTAACACCATTTAGACATTCTACACACCAATTCATGACAATCTTCATTCATATCTACTCCCAACATATGAACGATTGTGGACCATTTGAATAATTCGATTATTCCTAATAAACTCAATTATTCTGGAAGTCAAAACATGCAAAGTGAAACAATAGTTAAACAACTAACATGTGACAGTAACTTTACTCATAAATAAAACTCCTTTATTTAATCATCAAATGTTAATTACATTTATCTATTATACGTTTCTAATACTATCTAATCTATGCTAATATCATCCTTCAGCCCAATACTCCTAGCATGCTGCAAGTGCTTAACCCTACTCAGTCCCTTCGTAAGCGGATCTGCTGGGTTATCTTCTGATGATATCCTCTTCACTACGAGTTGTCCTTCTTCTACACGATGTCTAATGAAGTGATATTTTCTGTCGATATGTCGAGATCTACCATGATCCCTCGGTTCCTTGGTCAAGGCAACCGCACCTTCGTTATCACAGAAAATCTCCATGGGCTCCTTTATGGCCGGCACAACTCCAAGATCACCGATGAAGTTCTTCAGCCATATTGCCTCCTTCGACGCTTCGCTCGCTGCGATGTACTCTGATTCGCACGTTGAATCAGCTACGGTTTCTGCTTGGAACTTTTCCATGTCACTGCTCCTCCATTTAGGGTAAAACCCAGCCCGACTGCGAACGGTAGTTGTCCCTGTCGGTCTGAAAGCTGGCGTCACTATACCCTCGCACCTTCAAGTCATCACTCCCTCCAAGGACTAAGAACCATTCTTTCGTCCTCCGAAGGTACTTAAGGATGTTCTTCACCGCAATCCAATGTGCTTTGCCAGGGTTCCCTTGATATCTGCTAACCATGCTCAAAGCGAAGGCTACATCAGGGCGAGTACAAGTCATAGCGTACATGATTGAGCCAACTGCGGAAGCGTATGGTACTCGGCTCATTTCTGCTATCTCAGCTTCGGTACTCGGACTTTGAGTCTTACTCAACTTGGCATTTCCTTGTATCGGTAGTTCTCCCTTCTTTGAGTTTTCCATACTAAAACGTTTTAGTACCTTCTCCAAGTAAGTATTCTGACTAAGTCCAATTAGTCTCTTACTTCTTTCTCTTACTATCCTTATTCCCAAAATGTAAGAAGCCTCTCCGAGGTCCTTCATAGCGAAGCACTTCCCGAGCCAGGACTTAACCTCCTGCAGAGTCGGGATGTCGTTTCCTATGAGTAATATGTCATCGACATATAGAACGAGGAAGCTTACTATACTCCCACTGGCTTTGACATATACACAAGATTCGTCTTCGCTTCGTACAAATCCAAACTCTTTGACTTTCTCATCGAAGCAAAGATTCCATCTGCGAGACGC